TGATAAGTTAAATATTTTTAAAAATAAATTGATTAATTCATTTTTTTTGAACTTTCATTTTCATTGATATCATACTATACCTCGAGCATATCTTGATAGTGAGGGAAAAACTCCGTTGAAGGGTTAAAAATCCAACAATAGAGAAGCTAATGTATCTATTGTTGTCGATTTAACTGAATGAGCAAATCGCAGCCGCATTGTTCGTTGCATCACGCGTCATGTTTGGAAGTTTAGTAATAGGCTAAATTTAAAAGACTTTTAAGGCCATTTTAATAAAAATAAAATGGCCTTAAAAGTCTTTTAAATGGCCATCAAATTTTATAAACTGGAGTATAAAGTGTTGCGTAAAATATTTTTTATTAGTTATTAGTTCGCATGCGACTAATTAACTGCGTCATAATTAACTGCAAGTAATTTTGCCAGTACGGTGCAAGTGCAATTTAAAGAGAAAGTATGATATAGATTTTAAAAGGAGAAGGACTAGGAAAAGTAGATTGGACCTCGGTGGGACAATTTTGCGGCGAATAATGTATTATTTATCGTTTGTGTAAAATTAATTATTCTTTCCATTTTAATTGATTTATTATTTTATTTAAGAATAATAATTTCAAAACTTTTAAAATTATTCTTTTAAAAATTTTTATTTTGTTCAGAGATTTTAATAAACTTTACTTAAAAGACAAAAAAATTTGATGCGCGTAAGAATTTTTAAAAATGTTGATTTCTTTAAAGACTATTATAACTTGTATAATCTTGTATTTATTTAGATTAACAATAGTCAGCCAATAATTCTGCTATTGCAGAATTTATTCGGATCATTGAGTAATGAATTTAACTTTTTTACTAATTCAATGGATTTTTGAAAATTGCATTAGATATATAATTATGCGTTAAATTGATAATATGACAATATGATGAACGAATATACTCTCACAAATCTATTATCTTAAAATGGATGGATTAGAATAGATTGAATAATTAATATGAAATATCATCAATTTACTTAATAGAATACACTCGTAAATCTATACGAGTTTAAAATAGAGCTTGTTACGTTGACTCATTATTTGTTTGTGCATCTAGGATTCTATTACATCTCAGAATATTAAGTGAGATGTTGCATCATATAGTCGCTTGAAATTTATAGGTGCGTTATAGAAATTTGCAAATAAAAATATTATTTATGAGAAATATATAAGATAATAATTACAATTGCTTTTTTTAAAGTGTCATAATAATTATCGGGCGATAATAATTTTTCTGATATTAATTTAATTCAAATATTTCTAACATGACATGTTTGGAAATTTTCATTGATTTAAATATAATTTGCACACTATTTTGTAACATGTATATACATATAGCAATAATTACTAATCATTTATTGTGACAATTGTTTATTATAATACATAAAATATATCTGTATATCTATTTTAAAGTCTATTTTAACATGTCTATTAAATGAAGTAATAAACTTATGATAATAGACTATTTGAAAAAAGTATTTATTCTATAACTATATAATTATATTTATTATATAACGATTACATTATTTAAAATATAGCTATGAAAAGGTGCTATGTGTTTAACGCCTCGTTCAAATTAGATATTTGTAATATTTCGTAGTATCATCGTTAAATATTTCGTAATAACGTAAAATTATTGGTGGCCTTGAAAAATGTTTATTTTCACGGCCAATAGCGCGCTCCGTGTTTACGTACGACGGACAACGACGAATAGAATTT